ACCCTGCCTCGCCTGCCCGAGGCTGCGAGAGCAGCAGCTGCGGGGAGGAGCAAAACTGGGACAGTGCTGGAGCCCAGTGCCCAAGGGGTGATGCTGGAGCAGCCTCAGCTCTCCGTCGTTGGGTGCCAGGTGCTTCATCCACTGCTCAAGAGGAGGAGGAGGAGGAGGAAGAGGAGGAGGAGAAGGTCTTGGTGCTAGTGCTGCTAGGCTATCCCCAACCAGACTTGAACTCATGCACACATCCACCATCCTCAGAGCCATCAGAGCACCACCAGCTCTGCCCAGGGCACGACACACTCACCCCCAGGGCATTGGTGGTGGGTGACATCAACACCAGTGTGGTCCCTGTGTCCTGTCACTGGTGGTGGTGGTGGCACAAAGGCCGGCCCAGCCTGTGTGGAGCAGCCAGCAGTGCTGTGAGGGCTGTGTGGGGCAGAACCTGCACCTTCCTGACATTTGTGATACTGCAGTGGCAGGAGCGGAGCGACACCAGCGCTGCTGTCACCACCTCCTCGATGCTGTTTATCATTATCTGCTGCTTACACACCTCCAGCCAAGTTTCCATCCACCCACAGGACGCTCAGACAGCTCATGTCCATGCCTGTCCAGGGCAGAGATGGGCCAAAGGCCCCTCCAGCCCTGGTGCCTGCAGGAGTGGGCACAGAGGGGCTTGTGTGGCTGTCCCATCCCCATTTCTGCAGGATCAGGCACTCCCAGGGCCCAACACCATGGAGAAGACCAGTGCAGTTGCATGGAGGGAGAAAGGGAAGATCCCTTGGACATTCAGGGACAGCCTGGGGACATCCCTGCCATGCTGGAGCATCACTGAGCCTCCTCTGCTGACTCACAGAGTGATGGAGCTGATTGCCCAGGAGATGCCACAGGAAGGGGACATGTCCTGCCTCTGCAGAGCCTGAGGACCTTTCTGCCCAGGGGATGCATCCAGTGGGCAGGAGGCCAGTGTCCGCACTTGCCCCGTGCCCAGGGGCTCTTGGCCAGCTGCCCCCACAATCATTAACCTGGTGAGGCCCTGGCAGCTCCTGCTGTCACTCATTGACAGGGTCGGGGCTGAAGTCCTTGGCCGTGCCGGCCCTGCAGCTTCCCCTACTCCGTCAGCAGTGCTGGGAAAACAGGCTCCTGGCACTGCCCCTTGCTGCTGGTCAGGGTGGCACTGGAGCTGAGGGCTGGCTCCAGCCCTGCCCTGGACCCGGGTGGGTTCTGTGGGGTACAGGGAGGCTGGGGGAACAGTGCTGGTGGGAAAAGCACCATCTGGCCCCAGCAGCAGAGGAAGGAAAGGGAGACACATCCAGGCAATGCTCTTTATTTCCCCTGGCTTCACACCATAGACAGGACTGAGCAGCACCACAGAGGCACAAGGGGGCTCTGACCAGGGTCACAGCTGGCCATGGCAGCATGGGGCTGGGTGGCCTTGCCCCCATCCCTTGGCAAGTCTGGGGACCCTGGGCCACCTCTCTGCCTCTGGCTGGGCAGTGGTGACAGAGCGGTTAGCCAAGGCACAGCCAGGAAGGGCCCTGGCACACATTGACAGTGGAGGACTCTCCAACTGCTGTTGGGGGACAGTCTCCATCACAGACTGTGTCTGGGACCTCTGGGGACACAGGGCTGCTGGGCACGAGGACCTGCTGGGCACAGCCAGGACTGGCAGAGCTGGGCTCAAGGCTACAGCCCAGCACAGCTTCTGGCAGGAATGGCAGGCTGGGCACACTCTGGGCACCTGCACACCAGACTGAGGTGCTCAGCACCCAGGCGTGCTGCATTCCTCTGGCACTTGGCCAGTCCCCAAGGGCTGAGCACTCATGGCCCCATCTGGGATGGGGCAGGGGAGATATAGGAACCTATTCCTGTGGGTTGCTGAAGCCACCCACGCAGGGTCTCCTGTGGGGAGGAGGAAGGCTTTTTTGGCATGACCTGCTGGCTCTGCCTCTGCCTGCCCAGGGCAAGAACCACATGCCCTGCTCCACAGCACTGCTACTGTGGCAGGATCAGGCCACACTCATGCAACGCAGATGGTAACAACCTGGGACACAGGCTGGCAGGGCCATGCCCACCCTCCCCAGGAAGGGTGGACCTGCACATCCACAATGGAAGCAGCCCTGTTCCCATGGGGCCAGGGATTGGATCTGGCTCTCAGCTCCAGGCCATGTTCTCCAGCCCACAGCACCGGGATTTGGGGCTGGAGTCTGCCTTGCCACCCCACCCACCCTCTCTATCCTGCACACCCTTTGGCTGGAAGGGTGCTTTCCCCACCTAGTGAGTGGGGCTCAGGCAGGACGTGCTGGGCAGGCAGCTCTGCCACAGGCAGAAGCACTGGGCAGGACAGTGCCAGGCATGCACAGGATGTTGCAAAGTGCTTTGCAACAGGGGTTCAAACTATGTACAGGACTCCCTTGATGTGCACCAGGATGCCCCAGTGAGGAGCATGGCAGCTGCTCAGCCACTCACAGCGACACGACACGACAGTTTGGGACAGGACGTGGATGAATCTGCGGTCCAGGCAGTGTCGGCAGTGCAGGGCAGGGGCTGGTCGTGCCCCGTGTTGAACCCCAGGATGGCCTGGGGGTACTACACACCGGGTGAGGACGTGCAGCAGGACTCATCAGAACTTGTCATCTGAAGGCTGGTCCAGCTCAGACTCTGAGGGCTGAGGATGGCTGCTTCCCTCGGAGCCTGGGTGAGAGGCACAGGACTGATCCGACCCCTCGCAGGCACTGTCCTGCACAGGGAGCTGGAGGAAGTCAGGCAGGACCAGGTCCTCCTTGGAGAGCAGCCCACGCTGGTCGTTGGCCCGGCAGCTCTGGGCACGGTT